TGGTCTGAGCAGAGTGCGGCGGAATTTAGCTATAGGCTGCACGCACGAGGCAGACCAACCGTCGTTCGTACCTTGGCGGCAACAACCCACTTCCAACGGGCACGTTATGATCGTACTTCTGTGCTGCACTGGGCGCAAGAGCATGTGATAGAGGGTGACCCACGAACCTCCGTGAGCAGGAGCTGAACATTCACGCGCGACGCCGCCCATTTCCGCGGACGCAGAACCTGTGAACGCGCGCACATTCGGATTAGCTCACCCGTCCACCCGCACGCGGACCGAACAGGCAGAGCTAGCACTTCATAGAACGGCGCAGCGTCATGTGCCGCCGTGCGTCCCGCCATCCATATCGGCCCCCCTCGGGGCACATGAGGGGTGCGACGCCGCGCTAGACATTGCGACACACCCGAGCCACAGCCCAAGCCGGAACAAGGACTGGAGTAGGGCAGACGCACCGACTTCCGCGCCCCGACTCGCGATCCCGGCGGCGACAGCTCCTCCGCCCCGCGATCGCCCATCGCAGTATAGCGCGGCCGCGTCGCGTCGGGTAGTTAATGTTACGGGCGCGGCCACACGGCGCACGCCGTGCGCGCGGGCCGCGCTCGGCCCTCGGGTGATCGCGGCGCGATTGTGGAGGGCGATACGGGGGGTGCGCGCTGGAGGACGTCGCTCGCGCGTGGGCGGAGGGTTGGGCAGAGGCCCGTCGCTAGGGCGTCGGGATCAAGTGAACAAGCCCGCAGGGGGGCAGAGGATTCTGTGGAAGTGTTCGGACGCACCGTTCGCGGAGGCAGATGAGCGGGTCTCCGACGGGTGCGAGGTCGACGAGCGTTTGCGGCGTTCATTTCGGCCGGGACTACGGCCGCCGCGAGTGACTGCCCATGCGGCGCGCAGGCGAGCGGGAGGGCGTGGTGGGGGATGAGGCGGCGGGGAACGTGGTCAACGTGGCTGTCAAGGCAGAGAGCGAGGGCGTCAGCGTGCCAGCGTGCATGACGTACGCGCCAAACCCTGCGCTAGGGGTCTGCGATCGGCGATCAGAGCAGGCAAACTGGGATGCCGGACAGGCAATATCCACGTGGCCCTCCCCGCTCCCCGCTCCACCCCCAACGTCGACCCGTCCTCGCCCGCACCCACTTCGCCCCCCTCAGTGCGCAAGTAGAGTGCTCTGTGCAAGGTATCCACCCCCAGAGTCTTTCTGCCAGCTTAGATCCCCTCGTCTCCCCCTTCGACCCTGCGCTTCCACCGGCCCCCTCTGCGCACTAGAACCCCGGAGCACATGCCCCGCGAACCTCAGTCCACGCTCTCCGGCGTTCCAGCCCTCGCCCGACCGCTCGTCCTCCTCCGCCTCGGAGTACGCTCTCGCGCCTAACAAGAGGTCACGGTGTCCGCGCCGGCCACTACCAGTACTGTCGCGGAGCCCCATCGGTGGGGCATCGGCGGAACATGCACTCGAGCCAAGCGCTGCCATTTCCAAGGTTGCTGCGCGCCGTGCGCGTGAAGGGCGATCGGCGCGGAGGCACGCCTTGCAACGTGAGTGTTTCTATGTGAACCTCAGTGCTCGTGTTCTGCGCGTGGGGGCCATCCTTCGCTGTCGCGTCAAACTGCGTGGACGCTACGCGGCAGGGAAGGACGGGCTTTACGGGTCGTGTACGGAGGTAACGGCCGTGCATGTGCACAGAACGGAGAAGACGGGGCGAGGTGCAGGAGGTGCTGGTCTCGTACGACCCCGCGAGCTTCTCCTGCCTCGACTTTGCCTCGTTTCCGGTAGTTGACGTGGACTTGGTCGCTCGAAAGGCGCGGTCTCACTCCTGTTCTCTGGTGATACCCGGACGGCTCTACTTCATGACGAAGAGGGCCGTGCAGGTCTTCACCTGTCTGTCACTAGTTGCGGCAATGAAAACATATCCGACGTCCACTAGAGTTGTACTTTCACCATTTAGTGCACCGCTGGTGTTCGCGATCGCAAGACGTCACTCACCGCAGCTCGGCGCGACGGCGGGGCCGATGACGGCAAGGGTATGTTTCTGCCGTGAAGTCGAGTCTTCGTCCACGTCTATCTGTGCACGAAGTCTGTCTTCAGCCTTCGCATGCTTCCCGGCCGCAATCAATGTCGCGCGACTTAAGATACGCGGCCGAGTGAGTGCTTCTTCCTCCTATTTTTACTTTCGAATGCTTACATACTACAGGTCATCGAACACGCGCATACAACGCGTCGTGAGCGTGTGCAATGAGACGCCACGATCACGTGTATGACGGCGTCAACAACTCCAGCTCTCTGCGTTTTTGAGCTCACCATCGCAGCGTGCACCGGGTCTCGATTTCAAGACGCCGCATAGCTACGGGAAGGACATATTGCGAAAGAAACAGTGGTAACAAGACGTACAGCGTCTCGTAGCCGTACGGGTACGCCGGGAACGGGCGTCTCCTCGAGGCTCGAGGGTGTTCCCACCTGCCACGCCGTCTCGCCGCTCACGAGCCCATCACGAGGCAATCCGTCCTCGCCCTCACACTCGTCCCCTCTTGCACTCCTTGTCTCTTATCCCTCTCAATTCCATGGTGTCAGCTCTTGCCAACCGACCTCGCTCGACGTAACACTACCACCACGCTATTCTCTGCCGCAGCGGAGCCCCACCTCCCGACACGACAGAGCCCAAGTACGCACGCATGTCCCGCCTGGCCCCGTGCCCCAGCACCCGCCTCCCGCCCGCCACACGTTCTTGATACCCCCGTCACCTCGCCCACCCAGTCGTACGACGGGCCCCCCTCCCAACCCCATCGCGCGACCTCCCACGCCAACGCCAGCTGTGTACACGTACGTGTCGCCCGCGCACGCGCAAGGAGGGCGACCACCGAATGCGGCGAAGACGTGCCGCACCTTCGACCTCCGCCGGGCGCGAGTGGCGTCGGCGCACGTCGTCGACGCCTGCTGCTGCACCCCAAGGCCGCATGTCCGGGCGGCGGCGCTAGTTCAGGCGGGCGGCGCTCAGTGCGTTCCCCACGACTGCGCCTGCCTGGCCGCGATGTGGGCGCACCGCGGGGACGATCGGTGATCAGGCAAGAAGGTCCCCGCCGCCCGCCCGCGCAGAGGGAGAGGCATATGCCCCCTCGCGGCGATAACGCACCCCCGCCCCGGACCCGGCGGACCACCTCGACCGCAGCATCCGCGTTGACGACATCGCGCGCACCGCTCGGGCCCGGCGCGCGCCAGCGACCCCGGCCGTGCTCTCGATTCGCAGTCTGAGTACGTACTCGTCCAATGTCCAGTGCCGCGTGCCTCGAGCGCGTTGACGTAATCCCCTTCGTGGGTCGCGCGCGCGTCCGCGGGGAACAGCGACGCGCGCGACCGCGGCGGTTTGGCGGACGGGTGATCGCGGAACGTTGCGATGGGGCGGCGCGCCGCGACCGCGCGCAGGACGGGCGGAGGAGGGCGCGCGCGGACGCCGCTCGGCCGGCCCCTCGAGGACGATGGGTGCCCGCAGCGCTTGTGCGTTTCCCCTCTTCTCCGCGCACTCTTTCTTTGTGCTCGTCGCACAAATCCCGCTTGATGCGGCGGGCTCACGGACGGCTCTCCTCGTCCGAAGCACAGATCTGTGTCGCGCGTCGCGCACACCGCGTGTTGGCGGACGTTTGTTTGTTTGCTTTATTCCCGTTTTACGCCCTCAAGGGCCGAGCCCTACGGTAAGCCGTACACACAAGAAATCCATCATCGTAAGAGGTCTGTCGCATTCTGGCGGACGTCGCGGTGGGCCCAGCTGGGCGTGTCGTTTCTTCTTTTCTCTTTCGCTCGCCGACGAGCACTCCGAACGGGCGGGATGTACATCGATCGCCGTGCCGTCCACATCTGCTTTCGCTGATCCCGCCGCGTATGCGTACAGCTGCATTCATTCGACCTCTACCAGCATCGACGCACCGGAACGTCGAGCACGGCGCGCCAATCGAAAAGCGCCCCTTGGAGCGCAGTGACAACGCCCACCCACGGAGTCACTCCCCTGCGGAGCCCGGCTCCCCGGCTCTGCGTGTCCCTAGCCCTACTATACATCGTGCGACGAAAGGGAGGAAGCCCGCCGCGCGGGGTGCAGAGGAACGCCCCGGTCGAAGCTCGCGCCCGGATCGGGAACAAGGGGCACACCCATGCAGGCCTGGGCAGCGGACGCCGGGCGTTGAGTACGGCGGCAAGTGTGCACCCGCGGCGCGCGGGTGCAGTTCGCGCGTCGTCGCTCCCACGCGCCCTCGGTCACGAACTTGGGAAGCCGGGCGCCCCCCGGCGGCGGCGGCGGCGCGGTGGGGAGAGCTGCGGGAGCTGTGGGCGCCGCGTGCGGGCGCGACGCGATGAGGGAGGGTGAAAGGCGCACGTGCTTGCACTGACCGTGCCGCATCAGTAATTCTTCCTCCGTCGGACTGGGTCTGAAAAGGTCAGTACAGACCAATCCGACCCCTTTCTGACCTGTCTGACCGTCCGATGTCCGACCTCACCAAATCTGCTGTCCGACTTTCGTCAATTGGTCAATCTGACATGCATCAGACCCAGGAAGGAAATCCGACAAAATCCGACACAATCTGACACAATCTGATGCACCACACACAATGCAAAAACGAGCGGGAGGGTGTATCATTAATGGGAACTAATATAGGCGTGTGGGGCAGATGCACTAGCAGCTGTAGATCGGCATTTAGTAATAAAACCTGTGGTATAGTATCTATTCGTGGGGATAAGGTAACGAACCGGCGGCGACGCATTAACGGGGGAAGAAACTGATTAGACGAGCATAGAATACGTGGATAAAATGCGCTGGGCAACCCGCGAAATGCAATTAGGGACGTGTTGAGCGAGCTGTGCACGTCGCGTGCGATGAGCTGCAGGCGTCGCGCGCGTCGAGCCGTCACGCGTCGCGCGCGCGACGAGCCGCACGCGTCGCGCGCGACGAGCCGCATGTGTCGAGCGCGATGAGCCGCGCGTGTCGGACCCACAGGTTGTGCGTACTCGTGAACATCCCTGGATAGGACTACCACATGTCAGCGGCTTCGGGTGGGGGGCTGCTTCGTTGACGATAGTACATGGAGCTCTCCTCCATGACAAAGTCGTGATCGGCGGCCTTCACCTCGGGGAGCGCGAGGAGGTTCGCAACCTTCTGCAAGAGGCTCTCAAAGCGCTCCTCGTGGAGGACCAGGTCCCCGTAGACCTTGTTCGCCCAGGACGCGGTGAGTGTCCCAGCATTCCCCTTTGAAAACGCATCCATCTTGACACTCGGGTCGTTTCGAGCGTAGTGCTTGAATGCCCGCTCCACCTATTTCGCCGGAGGATGAGATGATGCAGATTCGGATTGCAAGTGCGTCACTTACCGAAGCCAGTGTCAACGCGACTGCGCCGATTGGAAGCTCCCGCACGTCATCAGCACGCACCGACCCTTTCGTAGAGCGGATATGGTGCGCCAAAGTGGCCACTATGAATTTGGACTCCATGGTTCCGTACGCGTTTTCCGGCTGGGTGAAGTGCAGACATGAGCATAGCAGAAAGTACCGCAGAACGTAACGCACATGAATGTGATCTGGGATCTCAAATATTGCAGCGCCTCCAGGTAAAGCGGCTGTGAGAAGCCAGTGCTTGATGCCGCCTTCTGAACGTTCGTAGGCTGAAAGTGAGTCGTCCAGGCGGCGAGCCATCATCGCGTGCTTGACAGTCGCTTTTGCGGTGACCTGTAACTTCTTCCGCCACTCATAGACACGTTGTCGAACCTGTAAAGCGGGGTCATCCTACGATTACTGTGTGGGAAACAAAAAACATACCAATTGATAGATGGCATCACCCCTTTTTATGCGAGGCTGATCATGGTATGGGAAGGCTACGTCGAGAGTGCTTTGAACCTCGTCGAGAAGATTCCAATCACGACGTGTCCCTGTGGTGTCCCAAGGGTCTTCTTTTTCGCCCATCACCTCGAGAACGGTAGGAACAACAACCTCCTTGACCACGTGTGGCGTCCATAGAGTTCCCTCAAGTGCGGCATATCCGATCTTGCGCTTCTTCTTCTCTTTCTTGGCACCGCTCTCCGACCCCATGCCGGTGTCGCTGCCAGTGTCGGAGAGATCGCGAGGATCAGGTGTCTTCTTCGTTGTCTTCTTCGTGCGAGCGGTGGTATCAGGGTTTTGGCCGTACTTGGTCTTCCGCGAAGCAGGACGCACAGATGGAGCAGGGGTCCGCACCGGGGTGGTGGATGCGCGTACTTCGGAGCGCGCTGGCGTGACGGAGGGACGCGATCGGGTTTGGAACGGGCGTGCTGGAGTTGTGGATGTCCGCGCCAGGGCAACCGAGCGTGCGGGAGTTATGGATGTCCGCGCCGAGGTGACGGAGCATGCTGGCGTAGCAGAGGGGCGTGTGCGCATTATTGCCAAGGATCGAGCGGGCGTAGCGGACAGACGAGCGGGTGTGATGGACGGACGAGCTTCCGGTGGGCCAGAGTCGTTATCAGACTGAGATTCTGAGGAGTCTTCCTCGCTGTTCGAGCTCCTATTGCCGCTTCCGGAGTCCGAGGCTTCGTGTAAGTGTTTCTTGGAGGGACGGTGCCGTGTCTCGTGCTGTTTCCAGACGTCGACACCCTTCATGGAAGAAATGTGCTGAGCACATGATTGCATGGATAGAAAAAGGAGAGAGAGAGAGACTTACATGATATTGTGAGCCACCCTTCCGAGTCTCACGATCCTCCCGGTCCTTGAACACCTCCGTATCGTCGATCCCGCGGGGGAGGTCGTATTCTTGATAGTCGTCTTCAACGACATCTATCCATTATGAGAAGAAATTGAATGATTAATGACGGATGAGACTCACGTTTGTCAATGCTGACGTTGCGCCGCATGCCAGTGCTTCTGCTCTTCTCAACGAGCGGTCGGCGCCACTCGTGCAAAGAGACTGTCTCTTTTCCAGACTTCGCGGCCTGTGTGGAATGCGACGGTTGAGCGGGTACGTTGCGACGGAGGCTGGCCAAGTGACTGCGCTCTTCAACTTGACGTGCTGCACGTTTCTGCGAGCGCGACATCTGATAATATACAACAGTTAGCGAATGACACACATCAAAACACTATAAACAAACCTCTACCGTTTCCTGTGCGTCGTCTTCATCGTCTTCATCATCAGCATCTGACTGTGAGTCCGAAACTATGACACGCGAGGTCTGGCGGTGGCGGCGGCAGCGGTCGGCTTTGGTCAGGGCACGTCGAGATCGAGAGTGGTTGCCTTCAGCGACGTCCATGTCGACCTCCGAACCAGCCGTCTTCTCCAAAAGGTCGGATACTTGTGGCTGGAACTCTTGTTCTCTGTCCGACTCCGCAGGGGCAGTTCCTTCAGCGCCATATCAGTATAACTTCTATTACAGAGTGCGGTAAACGACAAAGATCAGACTTTGATGAACTTACCGAATGCTTCCACCTCGTCTCTCTCGTTTTCCGCATGCGTGTCGAGGATGGCTGCCACCCGCTTCTTTCCCTGCTTTCGGGCAGAGGCAATGGCAGCCTTCTGCTTCGCGGCTTCGGCTTGTTGCTCCTCTCGTGCACGCTTCGCATTGATTCGCGCCTGCTTGACCTCGGGCGGCTCGACAACACCGGCCTTGTAGCCCGGATGACACGTCTTATTGGCAGCACGTGTCCCATAACCATGCCCAGCCTGAAATAGGGAACGTTGATGATGCCAGCGAAATTACGAACAAGGGCTCAGTAAACGCACCTGGGAGGCATTTGTGGCCTTCTTGTTCACCGGATTGGTCTTCAACGAAGACACGCGTGATGAGCGCGTGGTTCCAGGCGGTGATGGCATCCTGGGCTGCTTCGATGGCCGTTTGCCAGCCTGATTCGGCGTGTCAAGATCGGCGGTCGGGGGCTGGGACGGTTCTGGGGACAATGCTCCCGACTTGCGCTTGGTACTTGTTCGACGTGTACCTCTGCCCATGGCGAGAGAGGGAGGCCGTGTCTGGTGAGCGGGATGGTGGGAGGGAAGAAACACTGCGATGGGATTTGGCGCTGGACACGCGTCTCCTCTCCAGACTCCCACCGTGTCGCGACTCTCTCTCACTCTCTCGACCTCGCCCCTTGAAACCTTACCCTTGCACCATCAATACCGCCCTTTTTCCACCTGCGATCCCAGGCCAAAACCTCGCACCACGTTTCGTCACTCAGCCTCAATAATACGCGCACAATGTCTCAAAAATGCGACCTCTGCAACTGGGATTTCTCGACACAGCGTGGATACAACGACCACATTCGAACGGTTCATTCCCATCCTCGTCCTAATCCACAACATTCTCGCATCCGCTACCATAAACAACTCAATGGTGATATTTTCTGTCATTCTGACGGCTCGGCTCAACCTCCTGAAATGTCGCGCACAAACAGGTCTCCCATGCAATCCCGATGGCGCATTTCTTCCCCGCGGAGCACCACCACCCCTCCGCCCCAATGACATCGACTGGCACCCTTTCCCGGATCGTCCTTCGTTCGAGTTTGCACAATGGTCTTTCGACTCAAGCCCTCAATCTCGCGCGGGTCTAAGGCAATTATGGAAGATCTTGCAAGCAAAGTTCACCGCCGACGGGCTTGAAAACTATTCCCCTTTCTATCGCTCCAAGTCTGACATTGAAGATGCCATCGATGATATTCCTTTTGGTGACGCTGCGTGGACGACTATTGCCATTCGCTACCGTGGTCCGGTTGGACCTGACTCGCCGTCCTGGAAGCGGCAAGTCTATCTTGTTCACACACGCGATGCCCTCACTGTTGCCGAATGCATTGCAGCCAATGCCGAGTTCAAGGACATGTTTGACTATGTCCCATACGAAGAGTACACCGCACCTGATTGTCGCCGTGTGTGCAATCTGATGTCAGGTCAATGGGCGTTTCGAATGGCGGTACGTTCGGACATATGTTGAGCCTCCTGAACGTGTTCTGACCCACACCATCTACTAGACGCACATCTCCGAGGACCCGGACACTCACGGCTCTATGCTCGTGCCAATAATTCTCGGCGCTGACAAGACTACGGTGTCTGTCGCCACCGGAAATCAAGAATATCACCCAGTTTACATGTCCCTTGGGAATCTACATAACACTGCTCGTCGCGCTCATCGCGAGGGCATTGTTCCTCTTGCGTTCCTTCCCATCCCTAAGGGTACGCTCTGGGTTTTCTACTGCCATATTATTCCGTTCGCTGATTATTGAATTGGATTACCAAGCGGCACGCGAGTGGGAAGACGACGAAGAATTCAGAATATTCAAGAAGACGCTTTACCATGCGGCATTAGCGGCGGCCCTCGAGCCTCTTCGACATGGGATGACAACCCCTCAAGTCCTGCGATGTCCAGATGGTCATTTCCGCCGTGCGATATTCCAGCTTGGCCCTTTCATTGCCGACTACCCTGAACAGGTGTACTTGTCCGGAGTGGTGTCTGGTTGGTGCCCCAAGTGAGTCTCTCTGTCTGCGAATAAGCCTCTTGAACGCTCAACATCGAGGCTGAGCAGGTGCGATGCGGTTCCAGCAGCGGAATTTCTGCCAGGAGCACCACGTTCTCATCATACCACAGATGAGATGCACAGAGGATACACGGAGAACGACCTATGGGATTTGTTCGGTGTCAACCCTGACGTTACGGTGAGTCCCGACTGCATCAGGATTCAGTATTATACCTGTGCTCATCGCATCTTTCAACCATCAGCCATTTACGACTTACTTCCCGCGTGCAGACATTCACGAGCTTCTAACACCGGATATCCTTCATCAGCTCATCAAGGGGACGTTCAAGGACCACGTTGTGGAATGGGTTCTTACCTACATCAACCAGACGAACCAACCACGCGAAGCAAAGCGCATTATCGACGAGATAGACCGCCGGTATGTCATGTTTATTTCAGCGCGCCACATGTTTGTAGATGTGTACGCTTGAATCCGTGGATGTGTGTGCTTGCATCCACGGATGTATGCGCCTGCACTCGCAGTCGTTCGTGTGTACCAGTGCTGACATTCTCCACAGAATATCGGCGGCATCACCGTTTCAAGGCTTACGGCGATTCCCGCAAGGTCGTAACTTCAAGCAATGGACCGGAGATGATTCGAAAGCACTCATGAAGGTATGTAAGGCCGCATTTCGTGTCGCAATTATGACTCTGACACAACAACTTTAGGTGTTTCTACCAGCCATTGTTGGGTTTGTACCTGATGAGATGGTGCAGTGCGTAGCAGCGCTGCTCGACTTTTGCTACCTCGCCCGACGACCATCACACGACACCCATTCCCTCACCGCTATGGAAGGGTTACTGCAAGACTATCACCGCCTCCGCACCGTCTTTATCGCTCACGGCATCCGTCCAGACGGATTTGCGCTTCCGCGGCAACACGCGCTTGTCCACTACGTCCGCTCCATTCAGCTCTTCGGGTCACCTAACGGATTGTGCTCCTCCATCACCGAATCCAAGCATATCCACGCCGTCAAACAGCCGTGGCGTGAATCGAATAGGCGTAACCCACTCCCTCAAATCCTCCGAAAGCTCACTCGCAGAAGCAAACTCGCTGCTGCTCGTACAGAGTTCGGACGTCGTGGGATGCTCCACGGAGACGTTCTAGCCGCAGCACTTCACGACGCTGAACAGGAAGGTGCCCATCTCGACGAGGATGCGGTTGAACACCTTCGACTGCTCGCTCATGCCGCAGACGATAATGGAGTCCCCGATGCGCAAGTTACACTCGCTCGCAAAGCAGGTATGACACGAGTGCGTGGTGAGTAAGGGAGTATTGGGTACTAATAGTGTTCATATTTATTAGCGTTCTCTAAGCCAGCAAACATCATCGCGAACCGGCTTGCAGAACCGGATCTCGTCGAGCTTCTTCGACGTTTCCTGTATTCGCAGGCCTTTCCCGATGCCGTAGACGACCCCAGCACCGTCGACATCCGCCTGTGTCCATTGGTGCAGCACAAGGAGACGATTAAGGTGTACTACAGTGCGACAGCGGTGTTCTATGCCCCCAGCGACCTCGCATCCGGTCCGGGTGGCATGTCAAGTGACATCATTCGCTGTACGCCGTTATGGTGGGGCGAGTATCCACGCTACGACACTGTCCTTGTCAGTGTCGATGACAACGCTCTCGGAACAGATGGTATGCTTGTCGCCCGCGTTCGCGCTTTTCTCTCCTTTCGCCACGGTGGGCGACAGCATGAGTGTGCACTTGTGCACTGGTTTGAGCGGGGGGATGATGAGCCCGATCCCGTAACAGGGATGTGGATATACAGACCGGAAAAAGCTCCCGACGGTAATCACGTTACAAGTGTTATCCCTATAGGTTCTATTGTTCGTGCTTGTCATCTCATCGGCGTTTACACAGACGGCGACAAGCTACCAGATACTTACCATTACTCAGACTCTCTCGATCATTTCAACCGCTTCTATCTGAATTGGTACATAGATTATCACGCTCACGAGACCATCTGTTAAAGCATTCTGTCATATCTGCCGCTGCTCGATGATTGATCAAAGTTGCACAACTAGAGCTTCTGCCAATTCGCCTGCCCTGTGAATGTCTGAAATTTTCTGCCTGTCGGAGGGTCAGATTGGTGTCGGACAGGGGTCTGATGTCAGACAGCCCAAAAATCCGACTTTCAGACAAATCAGACAGAGGACGAATTACTGATGCGTGCGAGTCGGTCCGCTGGGGCTTTGGTGTTGGGTTCCTGGATTCGAAATCGATGCTCGCGCGTCGGATCATCTGCATTCCGGGGTCGGAAGTCGTGCTGGTGTGAGCAGCTGTTCCTAGGGAGGATCGATGTAGTGGACAGCACTTACCTGGTGGATGGAAGGTCGAGAGAAGGAACGACAGGATGGCACTTGCAGAAGGAGGGTGAACGCCATGGCCCATGGACCGCAGATCGCAGATCGCAAGCCTGGAAGCTGGAGCTCTGGAGCCTGGACCGCGTCAGGTCGAGTTCGAATGCGCGCGAGTGCGATGATGGTGCACGAGTATATGCGATGCTATGATCCGGGAAGGGGGGAGCACCCTTCTTACAGTGCTAGTAGCTGCCCTCGTCTCGCAGCAGTCTGATCCCGCGACGCTGCGTCGGTGGTCTAGACTTGCAGTGAAGCCATTCGAAGCATGACGCGAAAACGAGGGTACGTGCCGCCGCCGTCTCTTTGGTGTGACGCCCGCCCTGTCCCTACTACTTGGCTCATTCGCGAATGGGATGGGCTCGAGGCCCGCAGCCTGCCGATATTTGTGCGGGCATACACGGATCCTAAAGCGACGTCGATGCCGCCGAAACTAGCCGCCTGGCCGCCTGCGGCACGAGAGGGAGCGGCTGGGGTGACCAGTCGATGGTCGACGCGCGCGCATGACCCGCTCGGCACCCCGGTCCGAGTGCGCGAGCCCTGAGCAGCCCGGCGTGCGCGCGTCGCCGGAGGGCGGAGATGGACATCTGTCGCACCAGACTTCAGATCTTCAGAGCTGAGAGGGAGCCATCTGCGCAGGCGGATCCGGGGCTCTATTTTTTCTGGACAGATTTCGTGCTGAAGTGTGCGCATGTCGCGCTCGCGCGCCACGTCCCGGTCGTCAGCTGCAGCTCTGCTGTCCGCGTCCGTGCCCATGTCGGCGGGCCCGGCGCTGGTGTGTGCGCACAGATCAGAACGCCGCAACGTCGAGACGCAAGACGCAAGACGCACGCACGGCGCGGGCGGCACGGGCGTAACGGGACGCGCGAGGAGGCAGCGGGGGGGGGCCCTACGGCCGGACCCTGCTCTCCCAATCCATGTCGGATTCGCGCCTGGCCGCTCGCGGGTTCCAACTCCGCGACGGCCTGCATCCGGGAGCGCCGTGGGGTCCCGCCGATGATCGAATAGGCAGCCGCGATACCAAACGCCCCCCCACACACTGCACGCCGCGCGCCTCCGTGCCCTCTCGGCCGCCGTGGGTGGGGATAGGGGGGCGTGCGGGGTGCTCGGAGAGTTGAAGGCGCGCTCGCGGGCCCGGGTCAGGTGCGCGGACGGGTTAACGTTGCCTGGGGGGCGCAGCGCAGCGCATGGAAGTTCGGTCCGGCGTCCAGAATCCAGATGGGACGCGGGACCGCAGACTTGGGATCTCCGGCGTCAGGCCTTCAGGCTTGCGCTGGAACACCGGGCGTGGTCGCAGATAGATGGATGTCGGTCAATGGATCGGGAAGACGGCATGTGGGATATCACCTGTTTGCGCATCCGAGGACGGATGCTTGGTGTGGTGCCTCGAGGATGGTGGTGGTTGCGAGGCAGCTGGGGTCGGTACGACGTTCCGAACCCGCAGCTGCGCGGCGACCCCCAAGGTCCGCGGTAAATCACAGGAGTGCGAGCGTGCGGGAGAGAAGGAAGAACGGTCCGAACGTGGAGACCGGCGCACGAGCAGCTCGCCGGAGGGAAAGAGCAGCGCGAGCCGTCGGCCGGAGCATCCGAGGCGACGTCTGGGAACGTCCGCAGAGAAGGGGGGACGTCATAGGGGGCAGCGGTGGGCGAGCGTGCGTGGGCGAGTTTGCGTTTGGCTGTCCGGAGTTGCACAGGATGAGCGCACGCGCGCCCCCTGGCACCGCCCAATCCGGCACTCGGCGCCTGCACTCGGCCACACCGTGGGTGCGCACGGCGGGCAAACTGACAACCGCGACCTCGTTGCACGGCGCACGCCGCTCTCTGCCTTCCCTTGCCTCGAGGTGCGGCCGTGACTGGCCCCTGCCGAGAGCCACAGGGTCATGTGCCCCAACCGCCATCGATCTCGACGGTTTCTTGCAAACTGAGCTCGGTGGAGGAACAGGGCTGTGTGCTCGCCAGGTGCGTTCCACTCCGGCTCTCCTTCATCCGGCGGGACATCTGTACTTTTCCAGCAGCGGGTGCGGAAAAGACGGCGCGACAGGCTCGTGCGTATCGATGCTGGCATGTGCCGTCGCCGTGCTGCGCTTCATTTGGCGAATAGGCCTTCCCACTCGTCTGCTTCCGCGGCCGTGCGGGAGACGTTGCAGTCGATCAGGCCACGAGCTCGCACTCCCGCTGGCGCAGCCTGCACACATCCTCCGGCACGTGTCCGGAGCGCGGTGGGCAGCGGACGGGCAGGCCGGTTGGGCGTCCTTTCCTGGGAAGCGTCCCGTCTTCGGCGCGGAGCTTCGCGGCCCTCACAAGTTGCCTAGCTGAGAATAAAGGCAGCGAACCGTCCGTCCGCCCACGCCCTCCCTCCTGCCTGCCCGTGCCCGTGCCCGTGCACCTGACGCCTTGTCGACTTGCTCCCGTGCGCCTGCCGCCCGCGACGCCTGCCCTCTCCCCATCTGCATCAACTCCCGCCTAGCGGCCTACGCTCTCCATTCCAGCCATCGCCTCCGCCCGCCACTCCCAATCCGATGTCTCCGTACGACCGCGAGATCGTCTTTGACGACGACGGTGCGTCTCCCTTGCCTTATCCGGCGCCCTCTCCCCGCCGCTCACCCACCGCCCTCCCAGACGGCATGCCGTCCCTCGTCGACGGCCCTCCCCCACTCCTCGACTTCGGCCCTCCCCCGCTCCTCGACGGGCCCCCGCCCGGCCTGCTCGACGGCCCCCCGCCGCTCCTCGACCTCCCCCCGCTCGCGCCGATCCGGTTCATGTTCGCGCCCGAGTCGGACATGCCGCCGCTCGTAGACGGCCCCCCGCCGCTCCTCGACGCCCCTCCGTACGACGCCGAGGAGGAGGAGGAGGACGCGGCCCCGCGCGCGCCGTCGTCGCACGCCAAGAAGCGCGACGCGTCGTACATCCCCCGCCCGCCGAACGCCTTCATCCTCTTCCGCTCCTCCTTCATCCGCGCCCAGCACATCCCCGGCCGGATCGAGGGCAGCCACAGCGCGCTCTCGAAGATCATCGGTACGTCCGCCGTCTCCCCCTCTCCCTCTCCCCAGCCCACGCCCCATCACCGTCCCCGTCGAAGCCGACGTCCACCGTGCGTGTCCGTGTGCGGAGGCGCGCGTGAGCATTGTCTCCGGCCCCCCACGCCGCGTGGCCGACGCGTTTTCCGCCCTCCCCCCGCGTGCGACGTTTGTGCTCACGCCACGCTTCTTCCTCTCCCCCACATGTCCGCCCGCAGGCAAGTGCTGGCGCGCGCTCCCGCGCGAGGAGCGCAAGGTGTGGGAGGCCAAGGCCGTCGCCGCGCTCGAGGCGCACCGGCGCAAGTACCCGGACTGGCGGTTCAAGCCCGCCGCGAACGCGCTCGCGCTCGCGAAGGTCAAGGACGGCCCGCGCCCGCGGAAGCGCGCGAACCGCAGCGGGCGCGGGCAGGCGGGCAAGGACCCCGGGGCGCGTCGAGGAAGGCGGCGAAGGGGGGCGCGGACGCGGAGGAGGCGGCGGCGGCGGCGGAGAAGAAGAGCGGGACGGAGGAGCGGTGCGCGCGCATCGCAGACCTGATCGTGCAGGGCAAGACCGGGGAGGCGCTCACGCGCGCGGTGGAGGAGTACGACTTTGAGGTGAGGGGGACGCGCGGGCGGAAGGGCAAGGAGGGCGTAAGGACGCAAGGTGCGCCGCCGGAAGACAGGATGGACGTCGAGCGAGAGGACGTGAAGGCGCCCCCGGCTCCCCAGACCCCCGCCGCGGTCCCGAACTTCACGTCCCAGCACGAGCGCGAGGAGGTCAAGCCCCGAGGCGACGGCCCCAGCTCGGGGCTCGTCGCGCGCAACGAACGGGACACAGGCGCAGACGTCCGCTTCACCGTCCCGCTCACGGCGATGTTCAAGCGGTCCTCGTCCGCGCCCGCGCGGGGCCGCGGCCCGCCCCTCCTCTTCGCCGCCTTCCCCCGCCGCGAGTCGTTCAGCGCCGCGTCGTCCCCCGCCCTCCTGTACGCGCGCGCGGCCGTCGTCGACGTCCTCGCGAGTTCCGTCGCAACCCACGGTCACGAGGCATTTCCGCCCGGGCAGCCCTTCGCCCTGCGCCCCACCGACGCCGGCGCAGACGGAGGCCGACACATCGTGAGTCCCCTCCGCCCGCTTCGCGCGCCCGTGCTCTCCGCTGACGCCTGCACCCGCCCCTGGCCTCGTCTCCGCCTCCTTCTCCGCCTTCTCCGCCCGCGCAAACGGCGCGAATTCGTATTTCACGCAGGCACCGTTCGCCCCCGCCGCGCACGCGCACACGCACGCGACGCCGCCGCTGCCCGCGTTCGAGCTCGACGGCGAGCTCTCGACCCCAGCCCCGTCGCCCGTCGCGACCCCGCACGCGCACGCGCACGTCTGGCCCGCGCCCCTCGCCGACTTCGACTTTGACTTCGACGGCTTCGACGGCTTCGCCGACCTCGAGCGCGAGAGCCCGACGCCCGCCCGCGCCGCCGCGTCCTCGTCCTCGACGTACTCCTCGCTCGAGAACTGGGCCGGGCGCCGCCCGCAGCCGCCGCTCCCCTTCCCCCTCCAACTCCAGCTCGGCGGCGGCGGGAGCGTGATGGAGAAGGCGTTCGACGCCGCCGCGTGGGGCGCGCGCGA